AGTCGTATATATATATATATATATATATATATAGAGAGAGAGAGAGAGAGAGAGAGTTTCCATCTCTGGTTGGCTATTGGATAGAACTGAGTTAGGTGTATTGGTCGGCCCTCGAGAACCACTGCAGTTCTCATGTGTCCCCCGGTAAAATTAGTTGCCATACCAGTTCTAAGCCCATTTCCATGAATTCGCAAAAAACTGCCCTATTTGGCTTCCTGTATTGCTAATGATCTTGTTGGCTACGCGTCGTATCAGAATGTAAGAAAAGATGTTAGTGCTGCCTTAGTAGATTCGTTAAAATGGCTTTTGTTTCCACATAATTCTCACTTCTCACGTTATGTAGTTATGTCACATAATTTTAGATACAGTTGCGGTGTTGAAAAAAGTATCCCACTGGATAATATTTCACGGTACAAGGTGCTGGACATTATCAAGGATTTGGTTAGTGGTAAAGTTTCGTGAAATTTGTGATTCGTATAGATTTGTGCAAGTTAGGTGTAGTTATATTAAGTGCTCATTCTTCTTATTTTATATATTGCTTGCCTTGTTCATTAGGATTAAGAACGGTTGCTATAGTTGAGTGAATCTCTTCCAAAAAATTAGTTTGGTAATTTGGTTGTTTAAGAGAGAGAGAAAAAAAATACTTTAATGAACTACTCTATTTCGATGCAGACATCTAATTCCCCTTATATTAGTTAGTGAAAATGCTACTGATGAGAAAGTAAATATGTTATTGGTATTATGAACATAGATATTTATACGGTAAATCTTAACTTTGCTAATGAAAGTATATCTGGGTTAGAAATTTCTAAGGACATTGTGTAGAATTGCGAAAGTGGCGGTTTGTTCGATGTACTTGAATGCATGTATGGTAGTTGTTCAATAAATATTTATATGCTCTTTGATCATTTCAACGAAACCATATGTTGGATTTAGTATGATATGAAATTCTACTTGACTCCGTCTAAACTACAGACCTAAACTGCAGACATCTACGTTTTTGTGAACTCACAAGTCTGTGAAGGTACGATCAATGAAGAAGTAGGTCTCATGTTTCGTGAAGTACGAAAGAGATTTCTTTTGCCTTATAATTGTCCCCTGTCACAGCTGTTCATGATTTATATAATCCTAGAAATGAACTGAACTGTAGCTGTCACTGGCTCAAACAGCAAGTATCAATTCGAGGTTGACATCATTTGTGCAATCATAGTTTGTCTGGAAAATATTAATATCTTAATAAAGTGAATTGAATCCTCCGTGCTATCTCATACTGGATTGTGGATGGAAGAATTACCTTCACAAAAATTCAAAATTTTGGGGTGCGCCAAGGTGTTCAAAAATGAAGCGCGATGTGCCTGGAATATGATATTTATATTGCTCTGGGTACTGGGGATCAATATCTGGTGGCCTACATTTTCAACTTTTTTAGGAAATGAAAATGAAAAAAGTGTCTTCTAAAAAAAAGGCATACGCCGAATTAATTATGTTCCTTATCGTTGAAAAAGATCGTTTCAGTTCTATGCAAAATCGGATCGGATCCTCCTCCCTTCATCCTTTACCCTGTCCTGATTTCTCAATTTCAGAAATTAATTTAACAGGAAAGTGAATGACCTAATGCGCAAAAGATGTCCAGGAAAGTTGTAAAATTAGGCAATGCATTCGTTCCAGTTTGTTTAAAGATGTGGCCTAAATTTATTGGAAGTCCACCTCCCAAAACAAAAAAAAATTTCCTGCAGAATGGACGCGTTTCATTTGTTTGTTTTTGTAATTGCTTTGGATGGTGACATAGTCATTCTTTTGACAATTCTTAAGATCATTTTCCAATTAAGATTGAGTAAAACTTGCAGATTTTTGAGAACAGGGTAGAGGGATGGTAGCTAATTTCAAATGAACCGTAACTTCCAGTTTTGTATTAAATTACACTCAGCAGTGCTAACCTTTTTTCCGGGAATGATTTCTAGTTCCATTAAAATTGTAAACATTGTGAAAATATAGAAGATAAAGAAATGAATGCGACGAATGTTTTTCCATGATGATATCGTATTCGTTGACAGGATGAAAGTGCATAAAGTGACATTCATAGCATCAGCAATAAGCGGTGTATCTTTGATGGCATGCTTACTTGCTATCCTAATGATTTACAGCGATATACAAAGAACCTGGAATCAACTGAATTCAGAAATTAGTACATTCAGGGTATATTTTTTATCCAAACATTTCAAGGCAGAATTTATCACATTGCAATTAACTATCATTGATTATACATTAAGTATAAGTCATTCCCCTGTGATAACATATTTCGTGATCATTAGTTTTTTACACTTTGAGTGAAATAAAGATTTTAAATAAAAGGAAGAAGGTTGATTGAGTTTTAGACAACAACCGATGATTTATGGAAAGATATGATGCAACTTGCACGGAAAAAGCGATTTCGACGACAATATGATAGTAAGAGTGAAGGTCATGGTGGTACGAGAAATGACTCATCATCATTTCAACCTGAAATAACAACAAATGGAAACGATGATAGCACGCGTCCCGATCAATACGAAAATTTGAAAACTGAAACTGTTGGTGCCCCAAGTCCAACACCGCCTCTTCCTGGACCATCAAATTTGTTCGACTCGCACAAGAGCAATGATGCTATGTGTGGCACGTTTTGGGATCTTGAAATTTTTTTTTTCAATAATGCTGTTTTTATTGATTTAATTGCCGCCACGTAATAAATGCTGCTAATTTGTCTATTTGCAGAATGCCGTATCGATAATAACTGTCCAGCAGGTCCGCCAGGTCCCAAAGGACCACCTGGCCATAAAGGTATTAATAAAGAATCGCTAGACTTTTCTTCGAAAAAATTCAAATCTTTCTGACAGACCAAGAAATTTGGCTGATTCGGTTTTCCAGGAGAAGATGGAATACCAGGAGAGGATGGTAAGCCGGGTGCTGATGGGATGGATGTTGAACAAAACAAAACTACTACAGGTTGCTTCAGATGTCCAGTTGGTCCTCAAGGTGCACCAGGAGCTTTGGGACGTCCCGGACCACGTGGGCTAAGTGGAAACAAAGGTCGAGCTGGCCTACCAGGACGAAATGGAAATCCTGGTCCACCTGGTGAGCCTGGACCACCAGGACGTCGTGGTAATATATTTGTTTACCGGAGTATTGAAAATTTTGCCATACTAATGGATTCTTGGAAAAATTCGAAAATTAAAAAATCATATTTTTCTTAGAATATTAGAGTTCAAACGTTCAACGTTTGAATGAAATTGCCGATGAAATTGCAATTATTTTAGGTGCTGACGGACCAGCGGGGCCAGTTGGTGAGAAAGGCGAAAATGCTGAGCATCTGGTAGGTCGTCCAGGCTTAAAGGGTGAGCCGGGATTACCAGGACCAAGAGGACCACCTGGAGTTAACGGTCGCAATGCTCCATCCGGTACCACTGGTCCTCCAGGACCACCTGGTTAGTTTATGAAACATTTGTCGAAGAAATTTTTAATTGGTAAATTCCAAGTATTGTACCAAAAAGAATGTGGCAATTATAGTCATTTTTAGCATTTCGAAATTTTAGGAAATCCTGGACCTGCAGGGCCACAAGGAGCCGATGGGCCAAGCGGTGAAGTTGGACCTCCCGGACCACCAGGAAAGGATGCTGAAGTGAGTATTCAAACATTCGTTTGGTAATTCATAACTTTTTTCGTTCAGGACGAGATCCGAAACCAGTACATATTTGAACGATCAAATCAGTATTATTCGTAATTTCAAGAAATCAATCAGGTTTCTTGAGCTTCAATTGACTGGAAATTTCAGTACTGTCCGTGTCCAAAACGTGAAGAAGATGTGGATGGCTATGCAAAATGGAAAATGAAGAAAATGTGATATTTTGCGGAAATAAATTATGCGCTAAATTATGTGAAAGGTCATATTTTACATAAATCTAATAAAAAGATGATTGATCTTTCCATCAAAACAATAAGTCATTGTGGAAGCAGCAAGTTTTGCATAATTGATCATTAACATGATTTAAGAAGTCGAATTGTTGAAGTCTATTATCACATTCTTAAATCAAAACAATCAGGAAGCAGCAGTTTAAGGCTCTGGTCTAGGCATATATTTTTGGAGTAATAAGAAAAGAGTCTGCTCCTCGAAACTGTTGAAAGATGTTTGAAAATGTTGATGAAACACCGAATAATGTCTGTGGTGTCATTGGGAATCGTTATGTGATTGCAGGACCTGTTGATGAACCAGTCGAGAAACCATTCATGTATTTTCACTTGCACGATGATTATCCAAAAGGCGAGAAAGAAAAGGTTGTAATAGTCATTGATAATCGAGTTAATGTGATAAGAAGTTTGGAAACCCAAATCGAAGAGAGCTCTTATCAGAGTGATAGTAGTGGGAATTCTGGATTACATAATTCCACTAAATTAAGATTATCGATTTCTATTCGGCTACAAATGATAGTAAGACTATATAATCGATCAATAATTATGACATTGCAATTCCTACAGCTTATTGATTTCTTGGATCCGTAAAAGGGAATAAACATTGTAAATTATCATTTATTCAAGAAAATCAGCTGAATAAGCATGCATTTAGCCATTGTATGCGATGATTGGGCGGCATGCGCAATCCTATGGACCGATACATATGTCCATCAGAGTATTGGAAACAGTTAAGGATAGAAGTGTACACTTCCCAGAAATTGTTCTACGTGGGAAAATTGAAAAAGTTCAGCATTCGCATTTCGATTCTGATGTGAAATATGACTGTCTCGTTAAGTTTGAATTCAGAAACTACTGAATATCTAAAAGTGTCCTAAGAATTTCATTTTTTTGTCTTTTATTTTTTTGATAGATATCATGATATGATATTACTTTACGTTCTCCAAGCCTTATTCCTCTTTTAATACATGAACATGCTTTATCCAATGATTCAAACTCCGCAAATAAAAAAGAAATAAATTAAAAATTGCTGGATTGGATAAGTGAAAGTCCATTTTGAGAGTGAAATCACCATAATTTAAATATTCGTTAGTAAGATTGGATATACTTTTCTTGATGACTGTTACACTTCAATATCATTCAGCTGTTACAAGCAAGTTCATCAGGAGATAAGGAATCTAGGCTGGTAGTTGTGATATAGTTACAGCTTTACTTCGGAAGTGAAGGAGAACAAGAAGCGGAACTTGATCCGGAACACGGTGGTCGGCCTTTCGCAATCATCAAATACGACGCTACTCCAGTTTCGGTGCTTTCTTTCTTATCACCAGAAAGGTAATTATTTTCCTTTTGACTTCCATTAGTATGATAAAATCGATAAGCATTCGGTAAAGTTATAAATAGGCAAAATTAGCTTCAGTTTGAAAATAATGTAAATGACGACTGCCACATGTTGTCTTATAAAATGACCCAAGGTTAATGAATAGATTAAGATTGCTACATTACCATGAGTTTTAAATATATTCCACTTTAGCTGATAATTTTTTGATTCAGTACTTTCAAAGCTCTATTATCTATCTGAAGAGTGAATAAGTTTTGAAAGTTACTTATAGTTTGCCAATTACAGTTAAAATTTTAGCTTCAGCCTTCAAAAAATGCATTTTATTCCAAATATTTCTAATTCTTAATTTAAAAAAGATTTCATACTTTATCTTCGCTTCATTTCTCTTTCACTTTTACTACAAAAATCTCTTCCCAAATATGGCAATCTTAAAATTCGAGCAAATTCACATTTGAGATTCTCTGACAACATTATTCTGTAAATTATCGTTAACTGAAATTCACCATAACTGATAAGTCAAAAGTTATGTTAAAAATGTATATTCTTGAATTTCACTAATGGAATTGATGCATGACTTTGAATTTCAAAATCTAAAAGTTAGAAGAAAAGGGAGGAAAACGATTAATTTAAAAATGAAATAAGCAAAGATGAAAGTGAATTAAAATAGGATCGTTTCTGATAAGAAGTAAAATTCTGCTTGAAAAAATATTTCATGCACACTTGCTTTCTTATAAGCTGCTTGTCACTTTTGAAAATGCATTTGTTCGTAGCAAAAAAAATTAATTTAATTAGGAATCTAAAGTGAACATTAAGGAATAAATTTTTCTCTCTAGAACTTGCACATTATGCAAATTTCCTTATCAGCTATAAGTTGATTTGTGCATAATCTGTCATCATGTTTATTTTCAAAAAAGCGAATTTCAGTGAAATAAAATTACAGCATTCATTTTAGATTTCGTCTAATTTAAAATTTTTGTTTACTTATTTCAATGTTTAACTTACAGTCTCCAAAGAGAAGGAATAAAAAACATTTTTACAAAAACTTTTCAGGACTTTACCAAGTGTGTTATCCTTAATGATTGGTCTTGGATGTGTTCGAGCATTGGCAGCACTGAATCGTGCCGGTTTTGTGCACCGTTTTGTAACGCCCTTTAATTTTGCGATCACAAATCCATTAACGAAGACGAATATCCTAGAGAAGATGATCATCACTGATTTCAGTGCCGTTTTACCCTGGCCATGCAAGTAAATACTACCTTTTATCAGTTAATAGAATAGATTGCTGATGAACTGATGAGTGATAAGCATGAAAAAACTTGAAGGTACCAGATAGCTAGCATTCTAATAGACAAATTTTCTCTTTAGTATCATAAGTGTTGAAACTTTCCAGTTTTAGGCCACGCATATTTGTACCATTTGTTGGTTCCTATCGATATAGCTCTGTAAGAGCACATTGGGGACGTGAACAAGGCCCATCAGATGATATTATATCAGTAATTTATATGGTCGCTGAAATGTTACACGGAAAGTATGTTTTTTCATTAAATTCTTAGCATCAGTGAAGCGATAAGATTAGCGACAATAAGCAGACCTAATATGCTTATACCATAATGATAAAGGTTGGTATAGCATTTCACAAAGATCAAGAAACACTCGACAACTTATTTCCAAAAGTTGTAATATCCTCATTCGAATTTAACATTATAGACATGTGATCTTCTCTTCTAGCAACATTTTCATCGAAGTTTCAGATTACCATGGCGATCGCTAAATGATGATGAGGATCGAATTTGCTATATTAAAACATATTTCTACAAAACGAATGCTTTTAAAAAATTGCCACGTCAGCTAAGACAGATTTACCTGTTCGTCCTTTCAGAATGATGCTAGTTGGGAATTAAAAGCTTGCATTGCCTAAAAGATAGAACTTGAAAGGATCATTGATGTAAGAAATGAATTTCACTGTGATTCTTTCGATTTCAAAAGTTTTTCAAACATTTTTTTAAGTCTTAAATTCGAGTGCTTTCAGAGAAATGCTTTCGAAAACAGGTTCAGCACATGTTGACTTTAAATCTATTATTGAATTGTTCAAAAAAGCGATCGATAACAGAGATTACGATAACTTTCAAATACCAGAATGGCTTACCTATGATTAAAGCATTATTCTCTGAAGACTATTAATTATTGTTGCATAGTGAAATGGAATTTATCCAATTGATTTTCATTAAAATTTAACAGTTACTGCTTGGTACTTGAATAACTCGATATTCACGGAGAATTTCTCCATTAAGCAGATCAACTAAAAAGGAAATTCGAAGGATCTCTACAGAATATCTGAATTGCAGAAATTTTCTGCGATCAGGAAAAGATAAAAGATGACTCTCCTATATATACTCAATCCGATTAACCGTTTTCTAAAATCAGACAGGATACGGAATGACTTAATGTCAGATTGAGTCTAGAAGTGAGTTATCTAGCCACCTTATATTTCAATAGTTTTGAAGAAGGATTAACCGCTTGTATGGTTAAATAACAGATGAACAAATTTAATTTTCGAAAAATGTGTTTTATTCTTTCAGTTCCAAATGCAGTTAATCAGGTTTGCCTAATAATTTATATGCAATATAGATGGAAAGATTCTCCTATGTTACAACCATTTATTATTAAAATCATACAACTTCTCATAACCTACTTCAGAATAGGCATAGAATCATTCATGATTTAAAAATTTTGATTAAGAATACGAAAACTACAAACAGATGTTAACACTAAAAAAGGAACTAATATTTTTAAAATGATACGGCTGGACAGTAATCCATAATGAATGATATATAGGTAATATATAGCTTAAAATCTATTGTACTGACACGATCAAGATTTTCCAGAAAAAATTTGTTACACAGTATTGCAAGGATATATATTTCCAAATTGGTCATATGAAGCTATCTCAAAATCTTTGATGAATCGGGTTATTAGTAAACCAAAATCTAAAATCATCGATTTTATATATTTTTATAAATTTCAAGTGTATGCTTAGAAAAAACTTATAGAAACGCCTGCTTGCGGGAATTTTGAAGTTGTGGCTTAGTTCCAGACTGATATTGTCCAGTTGGGGCACATTTCTCATTGCCCATGAAAATGTGGCATGATATCAGCATCTTCCGTTTTAGCAACACTGATCAAATTACTTTTACGTGGACATAACAGCTAAAGGCATTAACATATACGATAACCTTACAAATGAAAAAATTTGTCACAAATTATGAAACAAAATATAAATAAAAACTTTGGCAACATTACCTTTGCGGAGTAATAAATTTAAATTGCTAAGTTTAAAAGCACTTCACGAACTCATCATATGATGGTAATACATATTTTGGCCCATCATTCCGGAAATACAACATTATCGATTATTGTAAAATAAATATTTGGGTCGCATTTCAAGGCGTACACTAAGCTACGGTTCATACCACACTATTCCACTGTTTTTCTATCAAAAGAAAAGCCTATAAGTGATAAGTTTTTCAAAGCGACGAAAAACATTTTGAAACTAGAAATGGTCAAAAAAAACATATATAGCTCTTGACTGAAATACTTCTTTGATTAAAGCGCGAACATCCAAATATAGTTCTTGTCTGAATGATAACACTAAATAACAGAGTCAGTTCTTCATCCATAAAAATACAATTATAACTATGAAAAATAAAAGCCAGTGAAATCAGCAGCAAGTAATATTTATTTATTGCGATTACAAATCTTGGTATATCATCAAAATATTTGGAAATATTTATGCTATATATTATAAAACTATTCTGCTTGCTCACCTAAAATTAACTGCATAACATTCGTGGAGTTTCTCCCTATAGTACCATTATTACTCATAAATTCAAAGTATTGTTGAACAACACAATGTCACCCATCAGTTATTTGTTACTTCATCTCTCAAATAATAAAATGCTTTACCACCTTCAACTACTGCACATATACAAAGTTGACTTCCCACGAGGTAGTGAGAAAAAAACTTGAAAAATATGAGAAATAGAAAAGATTCTGCAAAAGCTTAAAAAAGTAAAAGTCTGAAAATTTCCAAAAATGTTTCCATCTTCTACATCGCCGTTCTTTTTTCAAAATAGAAAAGACGATGATTTGCTGCAAATTTCTGAGGCGAATCATACAGAGATTTCGAACAATAATTTTTTTCATACCATGGGTAACTCTCAATAACAGTCGCCAAGACAATTTGAGATAAGAAGGAAAGAGAGTCTTAACAAGATTGGAAAGAAATCACTGGATGAACTACATCCTTCTTTTCATTTAGTTTTGTATGTGCAAAACCAAAAATGCAAAAATGCAGGAAAGTGAGATAAAGTCAAAAGAATGAAACATAAATGAAACATAATTTGGCAAGAACGTATCGAGATCAATTACTGCTATTCAAAATAACAGTGCAGTAAATCATCAAAATAAACAGCATGCATTCTATGAATGAACTTATTTAAAAAAGTTTCCGTAATAGCCATAATCATTTGTTTGATTTAAAGCTTCCGGTCATTTTCCTGTGGAACAGGATCTAGTCATTCACTGTTTCACAAAAGTTATCGAATCAGACCGAACTTTTGAGCGTATGTGTCAATTTTGTGAATTATAGGTGTAGAACCACCGGATGGAAAAAATTCCACTTCCCAGATTAAATCTAACCTACGCATCGATTGTCCAGCGCTTCTTGTTCGCAGTGTGCCTTCTTTTCGCCGTGCTGGATCTTTACTTGCACGGGCATTCTAGAAAAAAAGTTTGATTTTAGCTTCTCGAACTTAAAACTTGAAACACCAATTCTACTTAAAGAATTTAATACGGAGGAATAATGTTCACGCAAGCTGAAAAAGATGAAGACAATTTTGAAAAAAATCTGAAAAAAATGAAGCAACAACCTACATATAATGCATTTGATTTGGATAAGCAAGAAATTTCGAGTAGCAAAAGAAGAAAACATCAGAAAATAAACAGAATAGTTCAATAAACAAAATATACGATCGAAATGAAGTCAATCCTTTAACTATGATTCAATGATCAGTGAAAATAAGGAGCAAGCGTGTAGAAACAGATGTATTAAGATTGAACAGAAATGAAATATCTGAATCTGGTGAATATTAAAATATTGAAAACTTTAAAAAACTAACAAGTGCCTCTTCTGGAGTCCAACCAATGAGTTCTACAAGAAATTTATGTGATACGAGACACGTCAAGTGCTCATAACTTTCGTCGCTTAGCGCCACGGTCAATGCCCATAATCCATCATTGTTTATATGTAACGGTTCCAGTGGTCTTGTTTCCATTAAAGCCTGGAAAGGAAATGGATTATCAATGACAAATATGCAACTATTGGTCACACCTGAGAAGAAAGAAACTGGGAGAGAAGATGGAAGTTTATGGATTATATGAATTCAAAACATTGTGATGAAGAAATCCAGCTTATCATGGTTTTAGAATAAGCTTCAACATAAAAAGTTTCATTTAATTTGTCGACAAATTAGGGTCAAAATAATCCAAAATACTTTAGGTTCATGATAATTTATGTACGTTCAGAATATTTCACATTAATTTTGAAACAATCTGCATTGTTATTATGTACTCCAAATTATATCTAAAATCGAAGTTAAACAAACCAAAAATATGTGCTCTAAATTTGTATTATTTATCATCCGTTTGACGTTGCACAAAAAATGAAAAAATGCTCAACAAATCATGGATCTTTAGATATTAATCAACTTGCTTACAGCCAGCACTCTACGCCTCGGTCCAATAGCATACCGCATCGCTCGTAATGCCGTCGCAATCGATTCAACTCCAAGCCTTTTGTAAGCAGCAATAATTGGATGATCATCAGTCATTCTAGGTGTCGCGGGTAAATTATTTCTCCTTGGACTATCTGCGAAATAGGAGATGTTAATCTCAACATACGGATACTTCAAAGAAAACACTCTCATAGAAAGAAAAAGCGCTTCCAGTTCACTAAAAAAATGAAAATAGTGAAAGTAGCCACTAAATAAAGTAACAAGTGCATGTCCATATAAAGTATAAATCTTCGGACTTCTGAAAATCTAGTGAAAAAGTATCATTAGTAGTGAAACAATACCATTATCAGGGATACAACAATTTAGCTTTTCTTTTCAAATACTAGCACTTTAACTTATTAATCCACAAAAATTTCGAAGCGGCAGGACCATATACCTTCTTCATTTATTTCCTGTTTTATGGTTGTCGATGTTTCGAGTAAGATGATGTCAGTGTCATCGTCAACCACTTCCCTGTAAAACTTATCAGTAGTTTAGAAAAAGCAAAACTTGTTTGACAAGTAGAAAATTTTGACCATGAGATGTGGGAAATATAGAGCATATTTTTTATAAGAATAAGGTAAAAGGATAAGAAAGTAAAAATAAGGCAAAATATATATATAAGATAAAAATAAGGCAAAAGAATAAGGTAAAAAGATAAAAGGATTTTTATAAGAATAAGGCAAAGGATTGAAGGATAGTCTCTATTCAGAACACCTGATCATCAGACTCCAAATCTCAACGAGGTCACTGAACAGAATAAACCAAGGGATTATTAAATGCGTGGATGAACAATGATCCATCGTTCCATTCGCCCCTTACAATTACATTCTCCTTAAACTGTTTTCAATCATTTGCCGTCTCTAATACGAAGTTTCCTTCAGTCCGGGTACAGAACTGTTATAACGCAAAAAAACGCAAAAATCAACGCAAAAATCATTGGTTTTAAAGACGAAAATTTCTCAAAATACATTTTCACGCGCTTGGCAAGTGCAGTATGCGATGACGACAAATCCTTTGAACGCTTCGATGCTGATGCAGTGACTGGTGTTCTACTACTCGAACTAAGACTTTCATTCAGTGAAACACTCACTTGCTGCTGAAATAATGGAATTAGAAGATGAAAATTTCTAGATCAACTGATTTATTCAAATAAAGATTAAGCGTCAAATTTAATGATTACCCTGATGTTATTTATCGACTGTTTAATTCTTGTAGTTCCACCTGTAGATATCACTTTTTGCTTTGGAGTTTCTGAAGGTCTGAAATGGCATCAGAACTCATTTATTCCTAGTTCTAAATGTGGAGGTTCTGCACTCAATTTAAAACAAACAATCAATGCTGCATTATGATTTTGGATTTTGCATTATCCTTTAATCTGCTGGCATCATATTTGCATGAAATAAAGAAACAGAAATAGAAACAAACAATATAAAAAAGGAAAAAAACTTGAAAAGAGTAACAGATGACAAAATCAAATTAATCACAGAACACCAATGAAAAGTTTGTGAAAACCAAAATTTCCTCAGAAATTTATAAAATAACTTACGGTTTTTTACCTGAAAGTGGCTTCACCTGCATTATAGGCTTCATATTCGGCTGAGAGAGAACACTGGTAGCATTCGGAATATTGTTACTGCAATCATTTTCTCTTCACTAACTCATACTTAACAATATGTAGAGCTATTCTTGTTCTTTACTTCTGAAACCATCTAACCATCTCCAGTTTATCAATCATCATCACAAAGAGAAGCTTGAATGACGAGAAGAGAATCGGAAATCCAAAAAGAATACTAGTTGCTTGACCGCATTTTGCGACCATCATCGACAATTCTATTCCAAGAAATAAATCCTTCCACAACTTTAAAAACCTGGTGCTTCTAACTTTATTATTTACTACTTAGTATTTAGTAGTATTTAGTATTTCCCTATAAATATAACTTTATTATTTACTACTTATTTTACTACCACTAAGTCTTATATATAATGGAAGAAAAAATTGAAAATAAGCATATTTAGAGTTGATGAGAAGTAGATATTTTACCAAAAAATTGGAAACAAGCATATTTAGAGTTGATGAGGAGATATTATTTTACCAAAAATCGACATCACTAAAATGCTTCTCGGGCATTTCTTAAAACTGTATAGGGAAGAGAGTACATTAAAAAAGCGCACGAGCATATAGCAAAAAACAGTAATGAATTCATGATGTTCTTAAGATTGAGTATTTTTAAATTCCAGTGGAGTTAGGAATAAGTGTAAGCTGATATTTTTTGGATCAGAAAATTGGCTACAGATTTCATCTTAGTAAAAAAAAAAGTGAAATGCTGAAAGGTACTAACTGATTAATTTCCCTTTCCATCTTAGTTAAAGCCATGAAGCTTTGCCTTTGCAGTGAGATATCAATATTCAAAAGTTTCATCATTATTTTCACTGGACGACCAGTTTTCATGAGCAAATCATCGTCACCACCTAATACTATACAGTTCAATTTGGTAAGCAGCAAAATACCACGTCGAAGGCATACAGTGTTGGTTAGTAGAATCTTAAACAAGAGAATGAGTATTTATCACAAAAATTAAGAAAAGTTTGCTTATTACCTACTTATTTTAATAACCATATGATATCACCGACAAATATGTCAAAATCCATCGGTTCATCAGTTGTGAAATTTGGAGAAATAAAATGAAGGACAAAAACTAAAACGAAGTTTTGTAATCTACAATCTACAATCAAAAAATTTACCTTACATCCTGGACATGTTAGAAGAGAAAGAGTGCTTAACGGACCGTATTCCACAGCCTTCATTGACACTTGGCCGTCTGTTACTTCCATTGAAAGCATACGCTTCGCATTTTGCTAAAAGAAAGATCTTTTAATTTGAATCAAAAAGAAATTGTGACCCATCAGGCAGTCAGGGAATAAATCGAAATCATTAACTCTCTATAATGTCAATATTTTCACATTATTTATACGTTATATATTTGAAGAAAAATCACAAATGAATCGGAATTTGTTTCCCTTTCCTCCAATTTCAGTTGGAAACCAGAATTGTCCTCAAATTTACTGGTCAAATTTCTGTACTGCGAATACATTGATGTGCCGATATCGATAATTGAGTTTATCTAAAATAAAAATAACGTCCAGGCTGTGAAGAAGAGATGATTCCAGCAATAAATTAAAAGCAAAATGAAATTATAGTTGAACTGTGACCTGTATTATTTGATGCTGGAATTATGTTGCCTTAGTTATTTCGTCTGTCTAAAAGAAAAAAAAAAAAACGAAATAACCATAACCTGCACCAACGAAATTACCTTACAAATATCGTTTGCGTCGAGCTATTACGAGCTGATAAAGATAACTTTGG